ATAACCTACGGCTAAATTTGCTTTGAGACAGATATCAAATTTTGTAATTGTATTTTTTTTACCGCTGAAATTATAGCAATAGCTTTAAATGAGAAGTAATAATATACAAAACTGAGATTGGGCGAAGGTGTTTGACGGAAAGCGGTTAAGATGTCCGTCCTTGATCGTATTTGGCTGACACTAGACATACAACATGGCGATGCAGTCAGCTCAAGAGCCTAAAAATTCCGGGCACAAACGTGCCCAGTGTCTCCGGTTCTCTCCACTCACCATACGAAAAACAGCAGCATTAAGCTGCTATTTTACCACGTGGAGAGCCATGCTGCAGCTATAATATGGTTGTGGCGCGAATGGGTAGGCTCGACCGGGGAAGGACCACGCTCTCACAGAATACCAGCGTAAAATAGCAGCTTAACGCTGTTTTGTTTCTTTTGATTAGTCTAGAGAACCAGAGTCCCTTTTTACTGGAAATGAGGCTTCCAATCTTAGTCCTCAAGGATGACAACGCATCTGCATTTTGATTCTTAATCGAGGATAAAGATGTCTATGGGCCACAACATCCACTTACCATAAGGTGGACTGTGTGTTCGTTTGTTACACTTATTCTATAAAAAAGATTACGCTGGCTTTCATTGCATCTAAGAAAACTTTATATATGTGTGTAAGTAATTGTTTAAAAAGACCGCGGATTACTTGTATTGTACAACAGAGAGCCGTAAAAGCACAGGAGTTATCTTGGTTCCCGCCAGAGGCGGATTAAATGTCGACAGCGCCTCTCTAGCTAACATATATTATAAATTGTAACTACTGATTTTGCAAATTAAATATAATTTTAGCCTTGTAAGGAAAAAGGGTGATCTCCCGTTAGGCAAGGTCGGCCCGGAGAGCAGACTCCGCTCCGTGTGGTATCTATATATCTGTATCTCTATTCCGCGTGATTTAGGCTTTCGTGAGTTTCGTTCGTAGCGCAACGACACCGCCGCCACGTAATCTCCGAAACGGCTGGACTGATTTTGACGGGACTTTCCCCGTTAGATAGCTCATATTACAAGGAGTAACTTTGGCTACTTATATTTTTTTTAAATTAGGGTTCCGCGCAGCAAAACTAAAACCCTAAAACACGCGGGCGAAGTCGCGAGGAACAGTTAGTTAGTAATATAGTTTATTTGAAAACTAATTAGGTAAGCGAGACACGTGCACCCTTAACGGGTGGGCGTAAATGACAAAGGCGATGAGAGTGAAGAAAGCAAGAGGGATAGAATGTGAAAACACTATCCTTCCCCAAATTGCTGGACTTCGTTTAGTATTTAACATATAAACAATATGTACATAATGCTATAAATAAAACTATTTATTTAAAATTGGTACCAATGTAGCAGAAAACAATTATTTATCCAATCACATTTGTTATAAATGTATACGTCTACATTTTTGATTTGCTAAAGTGAGTGGCTTAGCAATGAGTAGTAGCGCTCAGTCGAATCCCGTACAATATAGTATTTGTACCGCCTACAAATGATTGTTCCGGATCTGGTCATTTGTCTTTGTAAAATGTATGGAACGTATTTTTAAAATAATAAAATAAATAAAAAGTTGTCAATAACATCGTCATAGTTTAAAAAATTTTGCAATAAGTTTGATTCAATGTTAAGTGCCGCCAACAAATTTTTGCTTATATTTGTTATGATTGAGCGAAGATAACTTTTAGAAAGATGAAATTTCACTCTCTTTAGGGAAGAAAAACTTTCACATGCCTAGTTTGCCTTAAGGATAATGCGTCTCTGGTCCCGGCGGTACCACCAAAGCTCTTAATTGCAATTATGAGTGTTAATTTACCACGTGCCCAATGTCGGAAAAAAGAGAATAAATAATGGAATAAGAATATTAAATTGATATATATTACGTTGCGGCGTAAGTGAATCCAATACCCACTGACCTCTATATATAAAAGTACGCGAAGGTCACTGCTAATACCTCATATCATCCCGTGAGAGGGTTATGGAGCATGACAGCGTTAACGAATACGACGAGTTTCATATACAATAAATAAACAAGTACAATATTAAGAACTATAATAAAAAAAAAAAAACTAAAACTAGAAGCTTAATTATCATATAGTCCTACTCCCCGCGGTATCATGCCAAGAATACTTAGCCTTTGAGCGAGAAAAGAACCAGCCCCTCTTATCACCAGCAGCAACGACCAGCTGCAGATGGAGTTCCCTTAGGAACTTCACCGCACGTGGACTCCACGGATCGATAGTTTCTACAGCAAATGGCACAAAGATGTAGTCATCTCTCAGAGACTCATATTTGCGCCACTTACTCAGTTCAGCTGCATCTGATGCCACCCCGGCTCTAAACGAGGTACCCCTGAGATGGGAGGCCGCCAGAGTGTCTACGCAAGTCGCATCCCACACTAGGGCTTTAGCTCTCTCCCAAGGGACCAAGGTCATACCGTCGTACAAAAAGTTGTGACTTTGACTTGAACCACTACTAACAAATTACTTTGAAGTTTGTATTGTTATACGCAAAGCTATGCTTCAAGTATATTCTGTATTATGTGGATATGCTATGCTATATATATACACAATATATATACACAATATATATACACAGTATATATACACAATATATATACACAGTATATATACACAGTACTACGAGTAGTAGCACTCGTAGATTTGATTCGCATTCAAATATTTTTGATGTTTATTCTTTTCAGTTCATTAAGTTTACCAGATGTTAAGTCCAGATTATATTAGTATTACTACTTCTAAAGTGCTTATAGCGTTAAACTTACATCTGAGTAAGCTTTAATACATGTTCACAACTTTCATGTACGACCTTTGGATAAATTTAATCTTATTCATAAAGTTATATAATATACATTTAAAAGTCTTAGAAATTTTGAGCCAAAAATAGTATAGTGGCAAGGAAATTAATTTCAAAAGAATAAACAAAAGCCAAACCGCTTGCCAAGCGTTATAACTTTGGCATATATCTCCCCTAAGAGCTAATCTTTGGAGATGGCAACAACCTATATAAAGATGAATATAATCTTTATATAGGTTGTTTACGTGGTAGAGCCATGCTGCAGCTATATTAGTAGTATAGTTGTCGCACGAGTTGGTCGGCTCGACCGGAGAAGGACCACGCTCTCACAGAATACCAGCGTTAAATAGGAGCTTAACACTGCTGTGTTTCGATGAGTATAGTGTAGAGAACCGGCGACCTTTTTCACTCGAAAAGAGGCATTCCATCTTAGTCCTCATGGGTGACAACGCATCTGCATTTTGTTTCGCAAACGAGGATATATGTAGATGTCTATGGGCCACACCAACCACTTACCATCAGTTGGACTGTGCGCTTGTTTGTCACCCTTATCCTATAAAAAAAATATTCAGCAGTGCACTTGATAGGCTGTAATGACGAATAATAATCTAATATATAAAAATTAATGTTTGTTTGTTCGTATTTTATGCGCTGCCATACCGTTCATCAGATTGCGGTACAATTTTGTCCAACACGTTGCTGGCACTTGCGCGAAGGTTATAGGCATAGTACAATTATTATATTACAGTACAAGCATTTAAAGTTATTTTACATTAAACTTCAATGATTGTATTATCATTCCTAACTAAACAATATATCTCTACCAAATTTAAAACGATATTTCCATAATTATTTCTTCTGTGGCAACAACGCCCCGGGTACAAGCTAGTGATGAATAAACAAAACAAACAATCTTAAAAAGAAATCTCATAGCTTCAGCTATGAGATTGTTTGTTGCTATATTATGATATATTGTAGCTATATTATGGTATATGATGGTATATTGTTGTGCTAGAAAACAACAGCATTCAAATAGTAAACCTGGTGTGCGGTGACGACGTAATAGAATCCATTACCCCATTTATGTCGTAAGAGGCTATTAAGGGAAATGCTAGAAAGAACTCACCATAGTTTTCAATAAATGGCGGTGTAACAGTTCCAGACATAAAATACCCAGATCAGTGACGGGAAGCATCGTCAAGTTTGCGGGACGTTGGTCCTCTCCACAACGGGACAGGATCATATACAGCGGTGCACTTTTGCGAAGAACGAACAAGATGAAGATGCGGTTCAAATATGAATATGACTGACCTAACGCCATATTGTGACGTCATGGCTGTCAATTCAAACCAGTTATGTAGGTTGAGAAAAACAGATATTTTTAAAATAATATTTTTAATTACAAAAGAAAAATGAACGAAAAAGTATTAATCTGAACCTAGCATTTCAATTTCGTTCATCTCTGCATCACTGTCTGAGTAAGCATCATTGCCATAATTATCATAAGTGCTGCTTTCCGTTATACAAATAGAATATGGATTTATGTAAGTATTTATAATATTCCACCGACAAGTATCAATATTTTAAATTAATTTATAAAAATAATTATGAGTTCAATAGATTTTTTAATTAATACCAAGACTCAATTAAATAAAGCGGGAAAAACAGATTAATTTTCTTTTACGGACAGATTATTTTTTTTTACTTCTCAAGCGACAGTTGACAGTACAAGGTCATTGACGTTCCTATTCTTATTTGAATCGCATTGCAGCTTTTAAACTTGTAGATAGTGAGACTTCTTGAATTTATTATCAAATTGAAAAATGGACTCACCTCGTTCACGTCGTGGGTACAATAGGCGACATCGTCTTGATACCTCTGCAGATGCAGGTGACGGGTACTGGCGTCAGTTGCCTGCAATACAGCGAACGTTGGATATGCTAGTTAGTGTCAAGTTTGGATAGGAGATGGATTGCAGCATTTTCCCGTTAACAACTAAAAATACTAAAAAATCCGTAACCAGCCCGCCTAATAAGCGTGGCAACTATGGCGAAAATCTCCCCTCTGAAGAAATATATAGGGGAGACCTATGTTCAGCAGTGGACATTTAGATATGATAGACAATTTCTACAAAAGTATTATACATGTGAAATATTTTTTTACTAATTATGTTAGATATGAACAAACCATGATACTCTGGATCTGCATCACAATGGTGCTGACAACCAGGAAAGATATCAGCTGGGCGAAGGTGCGGTTGTTGTGTAAACGCTGCGAGATCTTCAGAGCTCGGGCAGACGTATGCTAATTAAACAAAAAAAATAATAATAAATTAACTAATTATTGTCTATATTTTGCAAAATAATTCTATTATTGTATATACCATATTAATACAATATATATATAAATTAATTTTTATTTCCATATATCTTATTTTATAAATTAAACTTACTTTGAAATCAATGCAGAGTATGAGGTATGTTGATGCAAGAATGATTAAACCGCAAGCAATAATGGTTCCAATAACGACGGCCGTGCTGAAAGAAAATAGTACATTTTATTACGGTGATAATACGTTATACATCCTCTTTCTAGTGTCCCCAACATCGGACAATAAGGTGCATGGCATTTTTTCGTTGTGGATATTTCAAGCATTTCGACGGAGCGTTTCGGTTTGTCTATTATTATACATACAGCATAGGATTGGCATATTTTGCTTGCCCGCGACCGCCCATCCAAATACAATGTGAGTATCTTCGAGTGTATAAGAAGCTCTTTACTAAGCAATTGACCTCTAGATAAGATCTATTGGTAATCTAATATATAAAAAAATAATATTTGTTTGTTTGTATTTTATGCGCACCAATGTACCGTTTGATGAACGGTCATAACGTTCATCTGATTTCGCTAAAACTTAGTGAACTTATTGCTTGCACTTCCGCGAAGGTTAGGCATAGTACAATTAACTTACAGTAGGTGGCGCGCGTATTGTATCGACTATTTGAAAGTCATATATCATTCAATTTCAATGAATGCATTATCATTCCTAATTTAACAATATAACCCTTCCAAATTTAAAACGATATTTCCACAATTATTTCTTCTGCGACAACAATGCAACGAATATCGGCGAGTTGCAAATAAATATACCATTGGTGAGCTGGTAACAGAAACTTAGAATAAATGAATCACCAGACGAGATATACTATCGATTTACGTTAGGATTTTGTAACTCAATCACGCACAAGCGATTAAACTGGTGGAAATGTGACGGAAAGATTATGACATGGAATAGGGCGGAGATTTTTAATATTAACGCATAATAAAGAGCGATACGGTTTTCACGTACTGTTTTATCTACGCGTCTTCCAAGCGAGCTAAACGCGGGCAATAATTAGTAAATATTTCAATAAATTTATCAAAAATTGCCGACCGATACACAATTTTGTTGCCTTTCCTTTTATGAAATAATAAATTGCGTTTGACTTGGCTATAAACTATGCTTTTGTATAACATAACCTAAACCTAACATATACCATTCAAACAATAAGAATCATAATAACTACGGACTTTGAATTACAGATATTTTTTTATAAAATCTGCAAATACCTGTTTTGTGTGTAAATAAGATTTAGAATAAATAATTATACAATGGATACTTACAAGCCGAAGATGAGAACCTGCACGATGACAACAGCAAAGTATACTACCAGAGAGCAGATGAAATACACCTTTAGCATCCTGTCCCGTTCCGCTGTGTACTGTGAAATATGGAGAAATGCTAATCACAATGAATTATTTATACAGTAGTAATACTAAAACAAGTGCTTTCAGGTAACAAACGAAATTGTGAAACGGATAAACACCTTAGGTTATGCCTTAAGCTAAGTATACACCATAACACAGTATGTTATATTCTTACATATCTTTTATACGATTATAATGTTATACGAAAATAATAGGTCAACATTCTGACAGCTTAAATTTTAATTTGGATGTTATGCAAAAAGAGCAGTCTGACGAATAAAGCCTGTGTTTAATTTTGCAATATTACTGTTTACACAAATTATTATTGGTGCTTTTGTCACGTAAAAAGACTTACAAAAAAGTAACGCGTTCACTCAAATATCAATTTCCTTTAGCAAACAATTTTTCGTGAGCATGAATACATGTATTCTCAAGTCTGTTAAAACGCTTTATCTATAATCTATATGTTAGGGCTTATCCAATATTCTTAGTAATATCTAGTTTATAATAAAGATTGTTGTTAATTGTTATTATTGGTGTACTGTGTATTATGGGTTTGATAAAATACGTATCAAAATGAAAGCAAATTTACATAGCTAGAGTACAAAGTATGCAATAAAACATATTTAGCGCGAAAATTTTATATCATAAAAAAAATAAGGAATCCTCAGTTTGGAGGAATATTTTGAGTGTATTTGATCTTCATGTTTAGTAAAACTTGTACTAGCGGATGGGAGTAAATTCAAGATATTGATATATTTTATAAATTATATATGAAATTGGAGTACTTTTGATGAAACAACGTTGCCTTCAAATACAAATGTGTTTTAATACAATTTCTGAAAAACTTTTAAGCCTGGTCGGGTACAGCTAGTATTTAATAGTAATAGAAAAGGCCAAGGATTACGCGAAAGTAAATTTGCAACAGCAAGAAAGTATTTTATTGAAATAACAATTACCTCCCGTTGTGAAAGACACAATGATTGAACAAGTTAGTGTTTGTTTATTGTTCCGGCAGTATTTTTAATCATATTATATAAATAAAAATGGAAATAATTAGAACAGTTTAGCTTAAGTGTTATATGAAAATTGGGAGTTTGAAATGTGCCTGAACATAACATAATAATAAAGGAATAGGATTGAATAGATAGACCCTTAAGTTAATTGACAAACTTCTATGAGCGACCGAAATGATTTTTTAAACATAAACGTATTGTGCCTTCAGGCGTACCAGTAAATGTTATTTGTATATTCGAATTCTTTTAAATTAAAAAAAAAAATTAATTAACTAAAACGACAAACAAACTTACAGTGCACCTCATGGTAAGATGGCACTGCAGCAGAACGCACAGATGCGTTGTCACCTCTGAGGACTAGGATGGAATGTCACACAGCCTTTAATCAGACTGGATCTATACCCTTTAGACCGAAATACAGCAGTGCAAGTACTGCTATTTGATGGCAAAATGGGTAAGAAGTCTATCCAGACGGACCCATACTCTCAAATAGAGTCCTAACACTTAGAAAATATATCTTAAACCAAAAAAACTGACGAAGTTTTGAAATACTACTCAGTAGAAAATTAAAATTTTATAACGTTGTAGTTTATTTATGATGATATTCCATTAAAACCACTTTAAATTATTTATATAATAAATCTAGATTTTAGCACTTAAAACTATGCAGTAACACGACCTTAAAATATATGTAATATATATGACGAAGACGTCGAAAAACCTGTAATTCCATTGGCGTAGTAGGACATTTTGAGTTGAATATTGCCTCTGCCACAATTTCGAAAATATTGTAAAGCAATAAAATGATAATAAGTACAGTGTTCGTTATATTTTCAACCGAATTCAAAAAAGGAGGAGGTTCTCAATTCGACTGTATTGTTTAAATGTGTGTTACCTCAGAACTGTTTTCTAGGTAAACAGATTTTGATGATTCTTTTTTTATTTAAAAATTTATATGAAACCACATGAGACGCTGGTGCTTCTATGTGGTTGTGATGTGTGTTTAATTCAACTTAGTCTACATTGATAATGTTCTCATTTAATTTATACGTATTGAAGTCGATTGTACAAAATTTTAAATTTTACCGCTTGTAACAAAATGTAAGCTTTTGTACATGCACCAAGAATACACGTTGTATGCTACTTAGAACTTTGATATTATGAAAAGTAAGCTACATATTATGCATAGAACTCAAAATACTCGCAGTTTAAAGTTTTTAATTTTTTTTTTACTATTCTAGGTGTGCCACGCTTCTCTCTCCAAAGGAGACGCGATATCGAATACGACAAGTGTCGGTTACACAGACAGCGTATCCCTATCGCTGCAATAATATATAATTTTCACTTTTATAATACCGCCCCATGAAGACTGCTGCCCGAGGCCATGACCATGCCATGACGTCACTGTACAACTGTGTCATCGTTAACAATTATAATGATTATCTCATAATAATAGTTCACAACCGTATATGAAACTATTCTATAGTAGATAGGTTTTGTTGTATGACTATATTGGACGATAAACGCTGACGTAAACGCAAATAAAACATGAAGTATAACTTCATTGAAATTAATTGGGCAGCATAGCACAACATTTTTGACAAAACGCACACATTGTAACACCATCCTTGATTGCATAACAGTTTATTATATTTTATTACGACTCGGGACGAACATTCAAAAATGTATCTTATTTCCTGATGGTTTTTAGGTTCAATTGTCACAAGGATTATTATATAATGCCACTGTGCTGGCTACTTGTCGACAAGGAAAAATTTTACGTAATAATATGCAATGCAAATTATAATTAATCAGTATTATGCAGCGCAATTGGTAATCCTCGCTTACTACAGCTGAATTAGTGGTGGGTAATTTTTGGAGATATGAATACTTCCTAGATTTACTAGCGTTCACTGATTATACCACCGTTTATCAGAAGCCATAAGACCTTTCTAGTCATAAGATATTTCCCATAGTAATAGACCCTTTTTACAACCGTCCACATGGTGTATAACCATAGCTTCTAAACTGAATTACAATTTGGGAGTTTTGTTTAAAAATTTAAAGTTAAAGATGAGTAAAAAATTGATACATAGGTCGGGGAAAAAGTTTTATCATATTTTTTTTGTATAAAATTGAAGAAGAATCTCTTTGGTTGTACTGATTGTATCTGGCTGGTTTTAATATCAATACATAATATGGGGTAAAGAAAAAGAAAATTAAAAAGTAAAAAAAACCTTCACGCCATTTTCACATTGAGTTCTATGTACTACGAGTACATTATAACTCAATGCATTTTCAACTGTTTTTCTGTCCGCCAAAATGAGTGAATCTAACGAAGGAATTCCATACATTCTGAAGTTTTATTATAAAAAATGGAAAAATGCGACTCAAACCGCGAAAAAAAAATGTGTCGTTTATGAACCTAATGCAGTGTCAGTAAGAGTAGTACAAAGTCGGTTTAAACGTCTTCAGTCTGTGAATTTTCATGTCAAGGGTGCAGCTTGCTCTGGTCGCCCTCATACGGATAAAGTCGAAGCCATTTTTCAAAAAATGGAGCAAGATCGGCATATTAGTAGTTACAACATAGCCGAGGAGTTGAGAATTGACCACAAAACAGTTTTGACCCATTTCAAAAAGTCTGGCTACACAAAGAAGTTCGATATTTGTGTACTACATGAGCTCACTGAAAGAAAGCAATGTCTCATGTACTCATTTGTGGGTGTATGGTGGGATTGGAAGGGCATCGTTTATTATGAGCCTTTACCGCCAGGAAAAACCATCGATTCGGATCTCTACTGCCAACAACTAATAAGACTCAAGCAAGAAATTGAGAAAAAACGACCGGAATTGATCAACAGAAAAGGAGTGGTCTCTCATCATGATAATGCCTGACCACACACATCTTTGGCCACTCAGCAAAAATTGGGAGAGCTTGGTTCGGAAGTGTTAATGCATCCACCATATATTCCTGACCTTGCACCCTGAGATTTTCATATGATTCGGTCTTTTCAGAATTCTTTGGGTAGTGATCAAAAATCCCAAGATTTCTACAGTAACGGTATTACATCACTACCTACCAGATGGCAACAAGTTATCGAACAAAATGGCACATATATATTATAATGAAATATAATTAAACTTAGAAAAAAGATATCTTAAATTTGTATATAAAATACGAAGAAACTTTTCCCCGACCTTATATTTAAATAACTTTGAATGTAAACTTAAGAATGGATTTGCATTGCATGGCATACATTTATATGCTATTTGTTTACTTAATTTCACACACACAAGCCTTTAGTATGATTCATCATCATCATCATCATCATTACAGCCCTTCACAAGTCCACTGCTGAACATAGGCCTCCCCCAAAGAATGCCACAAAGCACGGTCCTGAGCCACCTGCATCCATCGACTTCCTGCATGTCTTACCAGGTCGTCGTCGTTATGCTCGGAGTTTCTCTGCGTGATAAACTTAGGAATGAGGATATCCGCAGTAGAACCAGAGTAACCGACATAGCCCAACGGATTAGTAAGCTGAAGTGGCAGTGGGCCGGCCATATAGCTCGAAGAACCGACAACCGATGGGGAAGAAAGGTTCTCGAGTGGCAGCCTCGTACCGGTAGGCGAAGTGTAGGGCGTCCCCCCACGAGATGGAGTGACGACCTGGTAAGACATGCAGGAAGTCGATGGATTTAGTTTGATTGACACTATAAAATTGACAGGAATGAACATAATATCTCTTAGCATTGTTTTGAAGATGTTTTAATTTCTCGACCGTTTTATTTTATAGCTTGGTGTACCTATTATACAATTACGTATAGTATATAAACAATATTATACTATTCTATTTTAAAAATACCTTGCGTTCGAGTTTGTTGTCACGGAAGGTGAGAGTAAACGGTTGGCAGTGTTCGGCGCGTAGGCGATCAATGGAGCGGGCGTCGATGGCTTTCATCAGGTATTCATTGACTTCGTCTTCAGGCTTCTTATGCTCGCTGCTGGTGTCGACTCTATAGATGCAGTGCAAAAGAAAATTAAACGTATAAAAGTAAAGTTAAAAAGAACAGTAGATGCGACAGGTTTTTTAGATCTCAAACCCAAAACGTGTAAGTAACGTTTAAAGTAAAAAAAAAAAAATTATATATTGTGGCATCATAATCATCAACATTAAACCCCTTGTTACCACGGATTTGAGCACACCTGAGCCAACTGCATACATTGAATTGGTGTATTTCGTACCAGGTCATCTTGTAACATGAAATATAAGTCATAATTTCATGAAATTATAAAATATATCAGCATATTGTTATATCGAGTGCAGCTAACATTTTAAATCTGCCTAAAACCTAAACGATGAACTTTCATTTCAAGTTCATTCACAAATTTTGTCGTAAGATAAAGAGAAATAATGTTAGAAGTGGCCGCAAGGGGGTGTCGTAGCATTTAATTGAAATTGGAAAGTTGCGAGCTCCGTATATTTTTAACGAGATTGCTGTCTTAAAAAAGAAAACAAATCTGCCAGAGTCTTTATTTGAATGAAAGGAAAGCAAATTATATTTGAAACGAAATTACAATTTTCGAGACTTTTTCAGTTAGATAGAAAAATATTGTTAACCAACGGTTATTTATATTAATTCTTAAGAAATATAGCAGTCGAATGTTTAATAATGATCTGTGTTTATCTGTGTTTGTATGTTTATGCTGAATCAAGTATTTAGCACAAGCATCCTAAGTATTTAGCATAACTTATGAAAAGTAATTTTGTATAGATAAACTTTTCGGCTTCAGCTTTGGATTGTTCGTAGAGTAGAGCTTACCTCAGCTAACAAAAGAAAGTTGGTATTCATGCCAAAATACGTCTATTCTTGAAACGGTCTCAGCTCTATTGTCATATACAATATAGAGCTAATCCTGTTTATATAAGCTAAGCTCTACTAAGCTAAGCGATATGCTCGATCCCAGTCGCAAATGATGGAGCCTTGACGCACATTTGTTTGTGCTGACGCAATTAATTAATTACTGATTTAATTTTAATATCAACAAGCTGCCTTGGACCAGTGTTAAGAGACTGGACGAAAGTGTGCATAAAAATTGGTGCCTGGTGGATAAATTTAGTTATTATTTTTTAAGGCATTAAAAAATCATAAGCTTTGTTAATATCGTTGTACGTCGCTCAGTATGTAAGCGCACAGACAAACGTGCAAAAAAGTGAAGTTCTTCTGTATAACACTTTTTTTAGATTTGTTACTTTTCACAGTGTAATGTATGTTATTTTACTCGGAGCATCTTCTATGTAGTCGTTTTGATACCATAATACATTTACTAAAAAAATGCGCCGTTGCGTTGAAAAAATTCAAAATATATTCCTATAGCATAAACAATTAAATATTACATGTATCCTTGGTTCAGAATTAAACTGAAGATGCGTTATCACACATGAGGACCAAGACGTAATGGCTCGTTATCAGTAAAAGAGGTATCCGGGTCTCTAAATTCGTCATACGAAACACTGTAGCATTAGTCTGCTGTTTCACGCTGGTGTTGCGTGAGATATTGCGTGGTCTTACCCCGGTCAAGCTAACCAATTCGTACCTACCGCAGTCTTATAAAATGTACTGTAGTGATATATGTGTTTATGTTGTATATCACCGTCATCGTCATTACAACCCTTCAAAAGTTCATTGCTTAACATAATCCTCCCCCAAGGAATGCCACAAAACACTGTTTTGTGCCACCTGCATCTATCGACTTAGCAGGTAGTTAATTTTCACCTAGTGGGTATATTGTATATATAATGGGTTTCATTCATGGTTTTTTAACAGTGCCGGCTCAAACCGGGGTGATACCACGACCTCAAAGAATACCAGCGTGACCTCTGCGTTGCGCTTGGTGAGTCCAGGTGGCCGGAGGCCCAATTCCCCCCATCCCCCCATCCCCCCACCCCATCAAGATGGTAGCAAAATTAAACAAAAGACTGCCCCAGCACTCCTGGAGAATCCCTCGCTGAGCATCCACGACCAAACTACCCCATTCCTGAACGTGGGTGGGCAAAATTTCACTCGCGACTAAAAGTGCTCGGGACAAGCGGAGCAATAAGACCAAGGCGACCCCTGTCACGCTATCCGTGAATTTTTGCAACATCAGAGGACTTCATTCCAACCTTAACGCTGTTCATTGCGATCTAGAGACGGCGAAGCCGGCCTTGCTCTTTTTAACCGAGACTCAGGTGTTCTCTCCGGCTGATACTTCATATCTCTCCTACATTATCATGATCATCATTACAGCATTTCACAAGTTCACTGCTGAACATAGGCCTCCCCCAAGGAATGCCACAAAGCACGGTCCTGAGCCACCTGCATCCATCAACTTCCTGCATGTCTTACCAGGTCGTCACTCCATCTCATGGGGGGTCGCCCTACACTTCGCCTACCCGTACGAGGCAGCCACTCAAGAACCTTTCTTCCCCATCGGTTGTCGGTTCTTCGAGCTATATGGCCGGCCCACTGCCACTTCAGCTTACTAATCTGTTTGGCTATGACGGTTACTCTGGTTCTACTGCGGATATACTCATTTCTAAGTTTATCATGCAGAGAAACCCCGAGCATAGCCCTCTCCTGAGCGACCTTGAGCTTCCTCATACGGCCAGCATCTCTCCTACCCGGGGTACAAATTAGAACACTCCTTTTGCCCCGGGCTGGAGTTTGCGTATACGTCACAGGACATTTTTTATAGTATAGGGAGACAAACGAGCACACAGTCCACCTGATGGTAAGTGGTTGCTGTGGCCCATAGACATCTACATGTATCCTCATTTGCGAATCAAAATGCAGATGCGTTGTCACCCATGAGGACTAAGATGGAATGCCTCTTTTCCAGTGAAAAGGCTCTCCAGTTCTCTGCATTCACCAAATGAAACACAGCAGTGTTAAGCTGCTATTTAACGCTGGTATTCTGTGAGAGCGTGGTCCTTCCTCGGTCGAGCTGACCCATTCGTGCTACAACTATACTACTAATATAGCTGCAGCATAGCTCTACCACGTTAGAAACCTCATCGACCACGTCATAATGGCTGCAGACTCCGTGCTACATCAGGTCCCATCCGCAGAGATCGTGATACTCGGTGATTTTACTTTACGCCCACCACGCTGAATGGCTTGGTTCTCGTTTAACCGACCATGCGGGTAGATCTATCTATGACTTTGCCTTGGCATATGGTCTAACACAACTGGTTACTTCGCCTACGCGGATCCCAGATGTGGACGATCATGTACCTTCCCTGTTGGACCTTCTGCTGACCTCTCATCCGGACGGATATCAGGTCTCCGTCGATGCTCCTCTGGGCTCTTCGGACCATTGTCTGATCCGGAGTAAGGTGCCACTCACGCTCCAATCGCAGTTGCGATCTGCAGCTTGCCGCCGTGCTTGGCACTATAGGTCAGCCGATTGGGACGGGATGTGGTCTTTTTTGCATCCTACCCTTGGGGGCGGGTTTGCTTCTCGCCGGAAGATCCCAGCGTTGTTGCCGATTCTGTTGCTGATGTGCTACTTCAAGGTATGGAACTTTTTATTCCATCCTCTGTGGTACCTATCGGAGGCAGATGCCAGCCATGGTTTGGTCACTCTTGTAAAATAGCATCACGCTATAAGCAGGAGTGCTACAGAGCCTGGGCTGACGCATCAACGTCTCGGGATATAAACACCAGCGCTCTTAAAAAGAAGTACAATTCCGCCTCTAGGTCCTTCAAAAGCGTCATTGCCAAGGCAAGGTCTGAGCACATCGGCAGAATAGGCGAGAAGCTAGTTCCCCTTTCTTCGAGAACCGTGCATTCTGGTCTCTCGCCAAGGCTGTCCAAGGGAACTTCTGTCAGCCATTTTTGCCATCTCTGCATAGAGAGGACGACTCACTGGCCCATGCCGCAAAGGAGAAAGCCGATCTGCTGAGCTCTCTCTTTGCGTCCAACTCGACTCTAGATGACGGGGGAACACACCGCCGACCATCCCGCGGTGTTAGTGCTCCATGCCGGACGTACGGTTTACTCTTCTCTCTGGACGTCAGCAAGTCGAGTGGGCCTGATGGAGTCCCTCCCATTGTGCTGAAGACGTGTGCTCCGGAGTTGCCACTGGTTTTAACGCGTCTTTTCCTGTACTTCTACTCCCAAGGCGTAGTCCAGAATTCATGGAAAACAGCTTTGGTCTACCCGATCCCTAAAAAAGGCGACCGCTCAGACCCGTTCAACTACAGGCCTATCGCCATCACCTCCTTGTACTCCAAAATAATGGAATCCATTATAAACTGCCAGCTTATGAGGTACCTTGAGGATCACCAGCTGATTAGTGACTGCCAGTACGGTTTTCGTCAGAGTTGATCAGCTGGTGATCTTCTGGTCTACCTGACTCGTAGATGGGCGGAGGCAGTAGAGTCCAAGGGGGAGGCATTGGCGGTTAGTTTGGACATAGCGAAGGCCTTCGATCGGGTCTGGCACAAAGCGCTTCTTTCGAAACTTCGTTCCTATGGGCTTCCCGAGAAATTGTGCAAATGAATCACCAGTTTCCTCCAGTTGATAGCCTTGAAATAAGTGCATGCTCTGATTTCAAGCCTATCAATGCTGGTCTTCCACAAGGCTGCATGCTATCACCAACGCTGTTTCACCTGCATAACAATGATATGTTACAAACTGGTAACATTCATTGCTATGCAGACGACAGAACTGGAGATGCCTTATATACCGGCCGTGCCAATATTTCTCGGGAAAACGTCGCCGAGTACCGGGACAAACTTGTGTCTGAAGTCGAGTCTTTGCTGAACAAAGTATCGGATTGGGGGCGACTAAATCGAGTTCAGTTCAATTCCCAGAAGACACAAGTTTGCGCACTTACCGCTAAAAAGAACCCCTATGTCGTTTCTCCTCAGTTTTAAGGCACTCCCCTTGCTGCCTTAGCTAGCATCGGAATCCTCAGCGTCAACATATCGAATAGTGTGCAGTTTCGTGGTCACTTGGAAGGCCAAATTGGACTCTAAAAAGCTTGGCGTGCTCAGCAGAGCGAGACAGTATTTCATGCCGGCACATCGCTTGCAACTTTACAAAGCGCACGTTCGGCCTCACATGGAATACAGTTCTCATCTTTGGGTCGGGGCACCCCAGTGCCAGGTCCTTCCACTTGACCGCATTCAGTGCAGAGCTGTTCGAATCATTGACGACCGAGTTCTTTCTGATCGGCTCGATACACTGGCACTGCGTAGGGATGTTGCATCTCTTTGCATTTTCTATCGAATTTACCACGGGGAGTGCTCTGAGGAATTGTTCGGATTAATCCCAGCCGCTAAATTTCACGAACGCACATCGCGTCAAAATTCACGATACCATCCTCACCATCTGAATGCTTCACGGTCCACGATTATGCGTTTTACTAGGAGTTTTCTTCCTCGTAGAACTTTTCTGTGGAATTGTTTACCACCGGCGATTTTTTGTGACCGATACGACTTAGTCCTTCAAGAAAAGAGCTTACAACTTTCTAAAAGGCCGGCAAGGCATCTGCAATTCCCCTGGTGTTGCGGTTGTTCATGGGCGGCAGTAGTCACTTACCATCAGGTGAGCCGCATGCTCCTCTTCTATATAAAAAAAAGAAACTCAAAAGAAATAAGTCTTAAGCACTGTTGTTTATTACCAAAATGGCGATGTGATTAATGACTACAGGAGAAGGTAAAGGATCGAGATGTAATACGAGCTTTAAACGTTATATGCCATTAAGTGATAAAATAAATGGACCGTTGTCTTCGAGCGATAAGAGTAGATTTGTTTTACGAATGATTAACTTCTTATTGCTTCTCAAATGTTGATGTGTCGTTTGCATTCGAAGGGAACGGTTTATTTCCTGTTGTACTTGGATAGAGTTATAGCTTTAAATAAAATCATACTTACTTTGAAGAATGTTTTCCGTGCTGAGATCCGTGACCCATAACGCGCATTTCCTTTGAAATATTTCCGTTGATTGCAAACGTGTGTTGGGGTTTCTTGTCCTTAAAAAAATGTTAGTTTACACATTAATGTTGGTGCACTTTAACTAAAAGTTAAACATTGAGAACGTATGTCATTAATTGAGCAACATTTGAAGATAAACTTTATTTTAATTACATTCATGTTAAAGTTTCTACAAAATGTACTATGGCTATAGTTTTTTCCGGATTCAGCATTTTGATGTAAACTGGATAATGAAATTGTCCGTTGTTTTATAACCAACCAACCAAGCTATGCAAAACATTTCATTGAATAGTAAAATCCTAACAGGTTGAAATCGATGTACTCGCAAGAATGGATATATATATATAATCATCATCCATCCATCTATATATATATTATGTATATGTCATATTAATAGACTATAATCATCGATCACTAATAAAGTAAGTGATCGATGACTATAATACCAATGTATATTATTGTGACGAGATATCTGCAGGAGCGCGTAGTAAGCTACACATCATGGTAAACAGGTCCCGGGTAAGAAGCTACGGATATTTTAGAAAATATTGCAGTGCCTTTTGAACCATATATCGATGGCAGCAAAGTAGAAACGGACATCTACATTTTTATGAAAATGCTTTTTTTACAAAATTGAGCTTAAATCAACCCTATCTACAAGTCTGTATTAATATTATTTCAAATTTCAAAATAATAAAGAAAATCTGGCACGTAAATGAAGACATCTACCCTCAATTTAAAAAAAACATCGCAGTAGAAACGGACATTTGAATTTGTCTGCCTGGTAGGTAACTTATTAATTGATAATGAATAAAATGTTGAATGCAAAGTAAATAAAGACATCTGCAAAATTTCCTCAAAAAAGGGGAATACTGTTTGCATGTTGCTTAGATTTTCTTTAAATATCCTTAAAACTATTAATGGAGATTATTATCTTAGTTTATTACACATTTTAAATGAAATGGACGCTTTTTTATCACAACGTATAAACGGATATCAGGCAGATTGTCTACTTATACGTCAAAGTTTTTAGAGTAAAAAAAGACATCTAAATTATTTTAGTAAAATAACGACATAGCGATAAAAACTATTACATAATTCATAAAGAATGCTATTTTAATGCTTCATAGAAAATTTCATGTTAATCGGTCCATAACTCTCAAAATGACCACAATTTTTTACTAAATCTGCTCTCCTGTAAAATTGCGATTTTGTAGATGTCCGTTTTTACTTTGCTGCCATCGATATATTGGAAATAATTATCTTCAAATGACCGTAAAGGATTCAAAAAGAAATTCAAAAAGACCGTAAAACTACTTAATACATTTTTATTTACTAAAATTTGTTTGTATATTTTTACATTTAGTTTTATTTTGTTCAATAACATTCAATTTACTAATTGATTTTAATCAATCCGTCAAAAAACATTTATGATAAATTTGTTTTGCGATTCTATAAAATAGAGTGTATATAATATAATACCCACTTATATAAACAAAGGAAAAACCATATTTAAAAATTTTGTTTATGTCATGTCATTAGAAGCTTAGAGTAATTACACATAGAAGATTCATTGTGATTCACCAGATGGCATAACAGTTTGGTTTGATGATAAATTGTTATTGTGAAACTTCACTTAATAGAACACAAATTATTTTTGCCCCAAAATTTACAGAATTTCATTTACTTACAATAAACAATTTACATTTATCAAGCCGCAAGATGTGTTCGCTACATAGTAAAAAATGGCAGTATGGTTTTATGCGATAGTAAGCTAGAAAATGCACTCAGTAGTAAAACCTAAAAGTGGGGCACCGACAGAGCCACTAGGAAACTTGACTGACACTCACGGTGTACTTAAAAAGCAAATTATCGCTTTGATCGCTTGTTGACCGGACCGTTTTGACCGGAATCGAGCGACGTCGCCGGCACACTCATCCAACATAGGGTGAGCAAGCACTTGTAATCTTCTTCCTTTTGTATGTACTTACTTCATTTTTATTATTTGTAATTATTGAGTATAAATAATTTTTTTCCTCATTTAGACCTACTTTAATGAACCTATTAAATTATTTATGGACTATCCAACCCTAAAATTCATTTGAAAAAATTAAATAGCTTTTTTGCTTATTTAATTCATATTTTTATATTGGTTACTTGTCGGGCAAAAGTAACGGGCTCATTTTAACATTTTACTGTCTAATATTGTTACTTACACACATAATGCAGTTGTTATAAGCTATGTTATGCACTTGGTTTTCAGGTGATAATAATCCGGTTATTAAGGCTGTTGCGTATCGTCCGAAAAACTGATAAAAAAGAAATATTTATTGATTCGGACATTGTTTTATAATTAATTTTATGTTTAATATAAACAAATATCTGATGTATGGAACCCGCAATAGATACTAATTGATTCGCTTTTGAAGAGCAGAGTTGTTCCAAGTAACACGTTGTTACAAGAGAATAAATTTGGAAGGTCTTAAGTTCTCAAAGTGGGAATTAGGGAATTTAATGTTGAAGTCAGCCCAGCCGCACCTTAACCCACTCTCGTTGATATAACATAATATTATGTGCTTTGGTATTAAAATTATTTGATATAAATTTCAAAATTAATATGTATTTCTTTGTTTATAAATATTTATCGGACGAATAAACTTATATATTCCCTCAATTGTTTAATGTATTAAATTATTTTTTATATTATATATTATTATATTTAGCTTACCACCCGGCTCATGTCATCAGGAACAATCAGGTAAGTCTCAATGTTATGATCTTTCAAGTAAGCGTTGCGTTGGTCTCCGTATCCTGGCTCCACTTTGTAGTCGTCGCCAAGACATTGTAGGGTTTCTTTGGTGATATGCACGCGGCTATATAAATATATTTTAAAAATTAGACATACAAAAATCAAAAAATTAACAGATTAGTGATAAGGAGTAGCGTTATATATCTACAATAGATTTTTTACAGACTGTTACTTTTAGAATTACGAAGTATCTTGTTTTTTGTGTAGGAAAATGCCTACGCATAGCCACCTCGCAGGAACCAGGTTGGGTTATATCGAACTAGCATCAACTAAAACCTACCACCATCCAATATTGCCTCATATCGGCAGGGCTCCAGCGCTCTCTATTCTTCCTAATAATTACAAATTAAAAATTTTGTACAACCGATTTCAATATAAATTTTTAAGAATAACCCAAAAACTATTGGTAAAACAAATTTATATGGGACCACATGAGAAGTACCAGATTTCATAAAAGAGAATTATCGAAATCGGTTCACCCTGAAAAAAGTTATGAGGTAAACACACATAAAAAAGAAAAACATACAGTCGAATTTAATACCTCCCCCTTTTTGAAGTCGGTAGAAAACCAACCGAATAAGGCGACATAAGGCACGCCTTTCTACAAAGCTTTCTTCCTAGTCATGGGGTTAGCAAAAAGAGCACGTTTAAAAAAACTGAAGTGACTGACCAACTTATAGTCCACTGATGGTATTGGACTTCTGCAGTCCACAAATGTACACAAGGCGACAGCTATGTTGTCATTTCTCAGGAATAAGATGGAATACCTCACAGCCTGTAACTATACTGGCTCTCTATTCTCTGAGACCAAAACACAAGAGTGAGAGATAAGTATAATGGTGGTATCTATCCATCGCATTACTCAGCAGAATAAATATTTTGAAGTACCAGTTTTCCCTGGCCCCAGTTTCTCACAGAATGACGCTACAGGGTAATAGAACAACTAAACTCTTGTATAGACTATGTTCTTGATAGGTATAATAAATGAAGTAAGTTTCAAATTTAGTCTTACCCAGCGATGCCACCACTCTCCATGTGGTTAGCGAGCGTTACGTCATTGGACCACACGTCGAACTGCCACTTGCGGAGGCCAAGCACCACGCAGTGTACGCGCCCGGTGTGGATGCCAACACGCATGTTCACGTTCACCGCCATCACTTCACGCACCAGACTGTCATAAATACACAAATAGTAGAGCTCGGCAACCGTTGAAGTTGCGACGATGTTTGTGTTTCTCAAGAATAGAATAGAATAGAATCATTTTTATTCAATACTAGCTGGTACCCGGCACGTTGCAGCCGCAGAAGAAATAATTGTGGAAATATCGTTTTAAATTTGGAAGAGTTATAATGTTTAATAAGGATGTATTATCATTCAAGGAAATTGAAAGATATACAATTTTCAAATAAATTTTTCTGTTTATTGTAAGTTAATTATACTATGCTCATAACCTTCGCGCAAGTGCAGTCAATAAGTTGACAAAGTTTTTATGCAATCTGACATAAAATACGAACAAACAAATATTAATTTTTCTATATTACATTATATTATATTAGGTAGATTACAAGAATGCTTATTAAAATTAATTTTTTACTTTTACCACTGGTTCGGAAATAACCTCCGTCCTGGGACGAACCACCAAGAAACCCAGGGGCAGTGGCTTAGCTATGTAACTAAGGGCCCCGGGGCAAAAATGGAATTGGGGCCCTATTTACACTAAACTAAATACTTTTAAGGTGCAAAACTACTTCATCATCAGCTCCTTGTCGCCCACTGCAGGGCATAATAAAGCAAAGCTACTTACTATTAATATTATGCGTAACGCATTAACAATGACGAAGTAGATTACAGTTAATAATATAGGCAACAACATAACAGTGGAAGAGCCACACGGCAGATTTTGCTGTCGCACGGGTTGACCAGACTAAATGGAGTGACGATCTGGTAAGACATGAAATGAAGAGCTGTAATGAATGGGTGGACCGGCTCGAACCAAGGAGGTACCAAGACCTCACAGACAACCAGCGTGAAGTTAGAAGTTTACTTCGTCTGGTAAGTGCACGTGTTCGGAGGACTAACCCCTCTCCTCCTTAACATGGTAGTGTAATTAAATAAGAAACCATCCCAGGAGAGTACCAGCACCCCTGGTATTGGAGAATCTCTGGCACAGCATCCACGCCCAAGCTACCCTACACTTCCTTAGCGCAGGTGCTCAGGCTGCCTCGCGTGTCCTGGGAGGGGGGGAAATTCCGCAAAAAACTAATACTGCTCGTGGCAAGTAGATCAATTAGGTAAGGGTGACCACTGCCACGATATCCGTGAATTTCTACAACATCAGGGAATTTCATTCGAACGTTAACAAAGTTAAAAAACACTTGGTACCATCTGAAGAAGGCGAAGCCGACCTTACTCTTTCTAACCGAGACGCAGGTGTCTTCTCCGGCCGATATCTCTCTCCTATTAGGGGTATAAATTAGAACACCTTTGTGCATCGGGCTGGAGTTTGCGAATACGTAAAAAAGGACATCTGTTTTCCACGCCTCTGCAGTCTTGAAGGTCAGCGACGACCATTCTCGCGTCTACAGGTGCCTCTAAAGGTAATGCCGACACAGACCAACTCATCTACCACCTCCAAATCGCTACAGACTCCATACTACAACAGGTCCCATTTGCAGAGATCGTGATCCTTGGTGATTTTAACAGCCACCACGCTGAATGGCTTGGTTATCTTTTAACCGATCATGAGACCTGATCGACGGAGACCTGATGTCTCCGTCGACACGCCTTTTGGATCATTGGATCATTGTTTGATCCGGACTATGGTGCCGATATACGTCGGCCGATTGGGACAGGATGCAGTCTTTTTTGCATCCTGCCCTTGAGGACAGGATGCAAAAAAAGGACATGCTTTTCGCCGGATGATCCCAATATGATTCAGTCGCTGATGTGGTACTTCAGGGAATGGATCTCTTTATTCTGTCATCTGTGGTGCCTGGTTTGGGTGCTCCTGCATAATTACATCGCGCTATAATAGGAGTGCTTCACCAGTGCTATTAAAAAGAAGTATAATTTTGCCTTCAGGTCAGTACTATACGGTTTACATAGCGCTCGGTGCGCATAACACTATCTCCCTAGACGTCAAGTCGAGTGGGCCTGATGGAGTTCCTCCCATTGTGCTGAAGACGTGGGCTCCCTAGTTGGTACCGGTCGTAACGTGTCTTTTCTAAAACTCTTTCTCCCTAGTAGGCGTAGTCCCCAACTCAAAGAAAGGAGCTTTAGTGCACCAGATCTCTTAAAAATCGGCTGCTGAAACCTATCCAACTTGTTCTTCGAAATAATGAAAACCATTGTGAACTACCATCTCACTAAATATAAATAAGCTTAATGCCCAGAAGTCACAAGTTTACCTTCAGGTCAGTACTACATACGAGCCGCATGCTCGTTTGTCCCCTCTTCTATATAAAAAAGGTAATAAAACGAAATAGACAATTATCTTTAACAATATTATATTTATGTTCTGGAAGTGGGAGTAATTTTTGTGATTTTAGTTCGAGTCGTTCGCGGTCAGGGGCTAAAAAGATAAAACTCGAAAATTCTTTATTCAACTAGAATAGAAAATAATTTTTCGAACGTCGTTCTTAGAGGCCGAGGGGCTTCTTTAGCTTGGGGGCCCCGGGGCACTGTCCCATCTAGCCCCTGGGTAGCTAAGCCACTGCCCAACGTGACTTTATTTTTAAATATAATTAATTTACAGTATATTATTTTATACAATTAGTATGACGACATTAGAAACAACATGGTAGCGATCGCCTCATTCCCAAGGTTTATTATCAGTCATGTACTCTTTAGTAGTATAATAATCATCACTAAACAATTTTTGCTTAGTAAATTTTTTAATCGTTTTGATAGATAAGGCCGCATATTTTCTGGAACTTTGTTGTAAAAGCGTATACATTGCGCCATGAAGGAGTTACTGGCTCTTTGGAGTAGGGTAACTGGTATAACTAACTTGTGCTTGTTCCTAGTATTTACAGAATGTACATCATTATTTGTACTATTTTTACAAGAACTTGTTTTTATTCTTCATCATGGAAATACAGCCTATAGCTGATCTTATCCTACTCGTGTTATAATAAACTATCGATTAGTGAATGTCTGCATGCGTTTGCACATAAAGTTGTGCCACTGTAACATCTTTTATTTAGTTGAGAGTTTTAGACAGTATTCAGAAATTTTCGCTGTGAACTCTTCAGCTTTTTTTAAGCAATTCTAGAAATGTGTCACTTGGCATACTTTTCTTGAAAGTGTTGCTCAACCCCGGGGAGGCGCAACGGTAACCACAGAGCTTTTCCACTGGTAATGCTGCTTTTCATCATTATATGCCTCAATTCCTCCATATTCTTCCACCATCGTATAGCTAAGCGGTTGGCGGGTCTTTACACCAATGTTGTCGACATTCGACGCATTCGAACCAATCGGCTTACTTCGTCTTTTGTAATGCATTCAGCTAAAGAGTGAAATTATCTGCCGCTGTCTGTCTTTCCATCCGATTACAATCTGGGCATCTTCAAGGCAAGAATGAATAGGCTTTTGTTACGCTAAGACGGTGCGATTATCCATTTAGGGTTTCTTATAATCTATTCACGACGTCGAGTTAGCATCACATAATTCGTACCCACAGTGTTAATCTTTTTAAGTACTAATTAATTAATTAAAATAAATTTAATGAAGATCGTAAAGTAGAGACAACTTAGTAAAATAAAGGTTAAGCAGTAAACTAAGTAAAGTTATTAACAAAGTGGCGTATTCTTGGTAAGCTTATGCTGCGAAACATTGTTGACGTCAGGAAGGCGTCTCTCCATGTGGCTCTTTCATGTGCAAGCGCTAAGACAGTACGATTAACGATCTAGGGCTTCGTCACCATTTATAATCAGGTGGGATTGTAGTCAAGCACTGGCTTATAATAATCACGGTTATTACGGGTCGCATTATGTTAAGGAGTTACTTTTAGTATTTAGGCAATCTATGGGGGAAGCTTGTGTTCAGCAGTCGACTTTTGGTGGGATATAATGAATGTGAAAATGAATCAACATTATCATAATCATCATTACAGCCCTTTACAAGTTCACAGCTGAACAGAAGCCTACCTTAAAGAATGCCACAAAGCACGGTCCTGAGCGATCTGCATCTATCGACGTCCTGCATGTCTTACCAGGTCGTCACTCCATCTAGTGACGGCCGCAACAACTCTACAACTACCGGTACGCGGGCACTCGAGAACCTTGTTTCTCCATCGGTTGCCGGTTCTTAGAGCTAAATGGCCGGCCTATTGTCACTTCAGCTTACTAATACGGCTACGTGGGTTACTCTGGTTCTACTGCGAATAACCTAGTTTATCACGCAGAGAAATCCCAAGCATAGCTCTTTCCATAGCTCGCTGAGCGATCTTGAGCTTCCTCATACGGCCAGCAGAAATGAATGAATAATATTTACAATATAATATAGACTATGATAAATTCCAAACAAATTTAGTGATTATCTCATTGAACATAGACCGTATTTTTTTTTTGTGATCGTAAAACCTGCCAAGCGCGACGGTAAAGGCAAATCCAAAGTTCAAAGTTACTAGACTTTTTCGGGTACGGGTTATTGATAATTTCAATTATGAGAACGTTCAAAAAAGAAAATATAGAAATATTTTATATGGAATATATATATATATATATATATATACGGATTTTATCGCGTATATTAACTTGTTTTATATTCCCGACGTTTCGAGCACTTTACAGCACCCATGGTCACGGGGGAACTGAGGTGTATGACGTCCCAATGTCATGGTTAGCCACGGCTACCACCAGATTAAAAAACGTCGGAAATGTAAAATAAGTTAATATACGCGATAAAATCAGTAAAGTTAGTTTTATTTAAAGGCATAAATATGATTAATTAATTACACTTTCAGAAGAGCACATTTTAATTGTAGTTATAAATACACAATAATATACATACAAAGAAGGCTATAAACCGGTATCGACAGTGGACTACTTACTAACTACTTATTAGTCGCGAAAATTTGTAAGAGGGAGAGACCTAGTTACTTAAGCGGACTCCCGGACAAAAAGAGGCTTTTAAAGAAGGAATTTATAAAAGTTGGGAAATTTCCAAGATGTAATAATGCAGGTTAATAAATACTTACGCAATAGCATCGATCATATCCAAGCCCATTTCAACGCAGCACTTGGCGTGATCATCACGAGCCTCCGGTAGTCCTGACACGCAGTAGTAGCAGTCGCCAAGGAGCTTGATACGAAGGCAGTGATGTTCAGCAGCCAGGCGGTCAAATCTACGAGAATTTCAATTGATGATTATGAGTTTGAGTTTAAATAAAAGGTCATTAAAGTTAATATGGCTATATAATATGAAAAGGTTACGGAGCAATTACTAATGCGTTGCTCCAGTGCCTGTTGGCGGACTTCAGCTGGTAATATTTTTCCTCCTCAAATACATAGGTTCCCTCACGATGTTTTCCTTCATCGCCAAGCACGAGGAATTCAGCAATAAAACTGTTACTCCTTAACACAGGTCATTCTGTAACCTATGTAGGAGATCAGAGCTACATCCACTAGATTGAAGATCAAATTTTATAGATAGTACAAATGATACAATGTCCCATCCTTGTACCATAATCATTTTTATATAAATAAATAAAAATGTTTTAAGTTTCATCGAATCAGTTTTATTTCAAAATCACCCATATCCTTAAATTTTCAAGTAAAATTAAACTTAAAAATAATTTCATTGTTGCGTCTATTTACTTAGATCTATTTATTACTTGCTCTTCGTCTATTAGAGGAGTTTTGGCGGGAACTTGACAGGCGGCGGTTTGCTACTCCTGTATTATTGTTTAAATAATGGTTTGAAGTGGATTTTGATATGTAAATGTAGTGCGATTTTGAGTATTAAGTGTCTGAGCATGTGACCTATTAGTGGAAACGGTGAAACAAGTGCTCTGATGGTGATGTGATTCTCAAGATAAGGTGTCTGTCTGCTTAGGCGCCTTGACATACCATCGCCAACTGTCAGCTGTCTGCTGGCTCAAGTTGCCGTCAAAATCTCCCAAGGGCTACACAATGTGAAGCATCAACATATTGTGAAGCAGTGTACTATGAAGGATAATTATACATTGTAACTTCAGGCTCAGAAGGGCTAGAACCCAGAGCCGTAAAGCCAGTTATAAAAAAAACATCTATTAGAATACTTGGGCTAACCTCCCTAATCCGTTAGTGTTAAACCTCGCTGTCATTTGATGGCGTTCACATTGATGGTGTAAATGAGTGCGTGCATCACTCGAAGTCATTTGGCTCTTGTAGTCCTCTTAAAATAAGTGCATTCATTTAATTGGTACCAGATGAAATCTAACTCAGGTTGGGTCGGTACTATGAAATTTTAAATAAAAAAATTTAAAAAAACCCCCAAACAAAAATACCTGTTTATCGTCGAGGATTGAAAAGTAATCTATACAAATAAATAAAATTGAAGTGTCTGTTTGTAACATCAAAATTACAGTTTTTTTTTACAAGATGCATATGAAAGTAAATACGGTACTTATAACTAAAATACAATTTTTTAAATTTTTGTCTGTCTGTCTGTTTGTTCCGGCTAATCTCCGAAACGGCTGGACCGATTTTGACGGGATGATTGTTGATTGATGATTTCATAAGGAGTAACTTAGGCTACATTTATTTTAGAAAAAGAATTAGGGTTCCGCGCAAATGAAAACCCTAACACACGAGCGAAGTCGCGGGGAACAACTAGCCTTTTAATAAACAGTAAAAGCCGACTTAAAATAACTAAAAACAATAAAATAAATTCCACATAATAGCTTCAGAAGCCGGTGCTAATATATTATGTTGTGCATATGAAGTATTAAAGTTTCTACTTCGGTAGCTATTATGTGGAAATTATTTTATTTTCTACAGTTCTTTAAAGTCAGCTTTTAACATAACATAACATAACATAAACACTGACACCTGTCACTCAGAGGGGTAGGAAGAGACTATCAACTTCCATTTGGCATGATCCTGTCACACCTCTCTCGCCTCTTTCACATCCATATACACACACCTACCTACATACACGGTCGTCAGTTTAACTTCGTTAATTTAAGTCGTTTAATTTGGCCAATTTTCAATATGTCGCCAATTTGGTCGATAAACTTTCGCCTACGGCGTCCCTTCCCGACTCTGCCGTTCACTTCTGCAACATAAATTCACTCTTTCCTCATTTATTGTTTCTACATGACCAAACCACCGAATCATTCCTTTCTAAATGTAGTCACAACATCATCTTGCAAACCACACTCTTCTCTTATCAATTTCTTACCCTGTCATTCAGATTCAGCCTTAACATACTCCCTAATGACCGCATTTCTACAGCATTTATTCTACTCTCGTGCTTCTTCTGCCACACCCAACTTTTAAAGTAGGGACTTTTACTCTTTACTAAAAGTAATTTTTTGACCCTTTTGAGCGGAACTGAGGTTAAAAACAAAGTTCGAATGTTGTCTGAATATATGGAATTTTTTCATCAAATTTATATAGGGTCAAATTATTTTTTTTTAATTAAATCGCAACTAGTTAATGATGATGACACTGATATCTGCGTGAAAAACAAGTTCATCTTAGTCTCTAGTAAAGGTATCTGGTTAGCGTTAGATTTAGATTAGATAAGATTAGCCCTCCTTGACGAAGGTATCACGTAAATAAACATCCAAAATAAATAACATACAGTCGAATTGAAAACTCCCTCCTTTATTTGAAGTCGTCTAATAAAATATTCATTGGTACAATTACAGCTATAAAGGTTTGTTTCGTATTTCGTAATGCGTACCGTAAAGGAGTGGAATAAATTTCGGGCGCATACTTTCACATCAAATGACAACATGAAAGATTGAAAAGTTTTAATGTGGTTGCGTACCTCTACGCAACAGCTATAATTTGGTTACAGCAGTAATGCCCGACTGGAAAAGGACCATGCTCTTACTACAGCGTAAAATAGCAGCTTTACGCTGCGGTTTTTCGTACGGTGGCATTCCATATTAGTCCGCAGGGTGACAACGCATCTACATTTTATGCTTAATCAAGGATAGATATAAAGGACTGAGTGTTATTATAAAAAAAATCCCATATAAAAAAAGACTTAAGTGCGTTTCGCAATTTTTTTTACTATTTTATGCCAGTGCATGAGTACTGTCCTATAAGATGGCAAGTGATGATGCAGCCCCAGATGGTAAAGTGCACTGTTTACTAATTATGGCTACATAACACCTGGTAGGATTGTAGGTAATGTCAATCACTGGTTAACAGATTTTGAACATTCTTAAAGCAGTGTATTGCTACAACTGAGGTTTTACTTTTAACTGATTTTAGTCTGTGTAAACTGATTATCCGTAAGTATAGTTGAGGCTTCCCCTTAAAATGTATTGTTCTAATAATGGCTGCATTAAATTTCTTAATTATTTGCTTCTTCCGTAATGTCAGTCTTAGTAGGCACAATAGACATTTTAATTGCAACTTTATGCACTCTAAAACAGTCCTCCTTTTTATTTAATTTTGTTTCTTAAGGCCTTAACAGTGGTTGAATTGCCTAAATCTAGGATATTTAAGTAAAAAAATCTCAATAACTGTTCATTTAATCCACAAAGAAAAAATACAGGGTAACAGAAGAAGATTTGGTAAATGATTTTAATTTAACAAAATTGTATTTTTGTCAACCCCTTATTAGAAAAAAAATCCCCAAAGAGTACCTATCTTTGTCATATTTTGCAAAATTTCTCCAAAACGGCTCAAGCTTTTTAAATAGTTCTTACACTAAAAAAAAGGCCTTAAAAATATTAATATTTTTAATTGAGAGTTTTATTTTTATTACCCGTTTTATAAGAGAATATATAATTTTTCCCTGAAATTGAATATATTTACGCGAGCGCGCATGCTCCGTCGCCATGTAAGCTCTGTCACAGTCCGTTTTCGGACATCGTCGAGGGTGGACTGCACGTCAGTGTTGGAGCGACTTCGTTCAAATATATATTAGTTTTTTAAAAGTTTATACTCAATTATAATTATTTTTATGACTAGAAATACTTAATTTAGTTAATATCTGTACACTGGTAACTGTAAATATTATTTTCTAAATAAATGAATTTTTAAAGTGCCCAAAGAAGAAGAAATTTTTGCGGCGACGTTGATTAGTGAAATTGAAAAATGCATTTTTATATAATTTAGATGTGGAACGACGAACATGCTCTCGTTACTTAGATTGCGATAGTTTTTAATATCTATGTAATTTTATTGTTGCATATTTTTTTAATTAGTTGATAATGGATTTTATAATTATGTATTACAATAAAACGCTGTTTTTATAAGTATGACTTTATAAAATATTATTGGAGAGAGAAATAAAGATACAGATACTTACATTTAGGTACACTGTTATCAAATAAAATCAAACAATTTAAATAAATAAAAGAATGGTGCTTACCTAAGTATAAATAACTATATAAAGACATTCTTGGGTTTATGGTTTTTTTTTGTTAGACAAACTATCATCTAAAAAATGTAAAAATTTTAAATTGGAGAGGGGTTTCTCTACGTGATAAAGTTAGAAATGAAGGAATTTGCATTAGAACCAGAGTAACTGACATAGCTCAACGGAATATTACAGTAAAATGGCAATGGGCTAGCTATATAACTTGAAAAACATAGGAAGAAAGGTCCTCGAGTGGCAACCTCGTACAGGTAAGCGAATTAGTACTCAACCTTTATTCCTCTTCACGTATTCTCATACGCTTTTCTTCACACATACACACACACACACACACACACACGCGCATACGCGCGCAAGCATGCACGCACACACACACACACACACACACACACACACACAAATAGGTCGCAAATAATACTTACCTAGTACTATTAGGCAAGAGTGAATAGGTTTTTGTTAAGTCAGTGCAATTCACCATCTTAGACTACATAACCACTTACCGATGGGATTGTAGTTGCTTTACTACTTGCTGGGTAAAAATAGTAAAAAAAAAATTTACCCTGTGAAAGTTTGCATTTAGATATAATTTTTCTAACCAACCATAAAAATATGATGAGAATATGTATATAAGTATAAGGGTTGCCTCACACGGAACAGTAATAATATAATATTATATCTTCCATTATCTCTGAAATCCGAGGTATGTTCATATTAAGAGGCTGAATAGAGCCACAATGAATTGCATGGGGATGGTTTTGTAATTTCACGTCATTATCGAAAAAAAATTGTACGTATTTCACG